GGCGATCTGAGGGGATCGCTGAGGTAGTTGGATCACGGTGATCCTGGATCACGGTAGCTCCTGGAGCGTCGTGATCCTATTTTGAGGTGATCTAGCTCTGATTGGCCCGTAACCGTTGAGGGGTTGATGCCTTGCATGAGTTTTTGTGGGGTACACGTGACGTAACCGCTAGGGTCGTAACATGTACGTTATGCCAGAGACAGAAAACTTCTGCGTTTTATATACTTGCACATCTTAGATTAAACATATATCCTAACGTTGATCAATCCTCCAAATCTCCTGTCCAGTCTAAATTAGCATAGCCGATGGGGTATTTTCATTCTCTCTTATATTCTAGTTCTAGATCTTGCGATACCTCTAGAAATCTAAAGATTCTATAGGTTTCTCTCTGGTATATGTCTCTTATACTTCCCAAGTGCCGCTTATACAAGGAGGCAGTAGGGCCAATCACAGATCTCGATCCAAGCTTGTGACGAACCGGGAATCCGTTCACTATGGCATACAACTCTCTTAGTTCATCCGTCACATTATAGCCAGGCATATGTTCTCCGAGTTCACTTATCAAAACTGGTTTCGCAGTAGGGGTGCAGCGCCTTTGATCTGTATGGTGGTCTCTACGAGGCAGTATGTAAATTCGTCGCTGACCTCAGGGTGGAGCCAGTGATTACATGCCCCTTCGCAGAGTTTACTCGTTTACAGATAGGAATGCAATATGTAACAGTTGTAGGAAAATGATGTGATAATCGCCTAATTAATTTACAGTGAGAGTGTTGACAAACAGCGCCATAAAGAGACTGTATCATATGTAAACGGGCCGGAACGTCAGCAGCGCCAGAAGATTTTGTAACAATCAACGATGCACAAACCCTACTTATTGGTGTTGGCATCATAGACTTTGCTACTTCGTGCAGGCGTGGCTGTAACGGAAACAGTAGATTGGGTGAAGCTGCTGCAAGTCTCAGTGTTTCACAAGCTCATTATTGTAATTATCGTCATCATCGACATGCTTGTAGTTTAGTGCGGGGAAGGGAGTCCGCAAGGTTGGAAGCCCTTGATGCAGGATCGCATCACCTTCCTCGCCCACACCTCTAATTGATTAGACGTACAATTGCGCAACGATTACCATTACACACCCGCACGGAGCGAACAATCCGGGTAGCTATGTTTGAATGAAGATGTAATTGAAACACTTGAGGGTTATATGTATGAACCAGTGCACCCCCGTTTCAGCGGGGAGTAATAACACCGAACGTCCGACCTAACCACTCATACATTATTCCAAATTGCCCCTAATATCGAAAGAGCCTTAACTGTTCTGCTGCAATGTCAGGCTCAAATACCGACAAGGTACAGGAGAACCTCAAGAAGTTTTCCGCGGAGAACATCGATGCTTATATCCAGGCATCTACGTTTACTGATGACATCCAAAATGTAATATTATTCTTTCAAGACCCTGATACCTAGCGATTTTCTAATACTTGCAGGCTGTTCGTCAACATATCCAAACCTAGTACAAGGCCTGGTTCTTCTTCCGCAAGCTTGGAGCTGACTGCTTGCGATCCAATGTGTCACTGCACGGTTTTGCAGCGTAAGTGTATACATGCCGCTGGTGGTTTTATATAGTCGTGACTAATGTTAATTACAGGCTTTGGAAGCGATCTGTCCAAGAGGCCGTTGCTGATGCAACCTGGCTAGAGTCGTACCTCGTCCAGCGTGGTGGCCGATCCAAGCCAAGTGACATCCCTGCGCCCGATATAGAGTGACCTGATAACCCTGTCGATCCCATCCAGCCCGTCTATGCGGCCCTGCAGACTGAGAAGGAAATTCTCGAAGATCTTCACCGTCGATGTGCCGCTGCAGAGAAGGCCGGTGATAACGCACTGGAAGATGTTATTGAGAGTCGCTTCTTGCGCAAGGAGACGCGCCATGTAAAGGACATGGGCTACTTGCCGCAGCAGTGTGTACGTATCAGCAAGCAGGCTGGTCACGGCTTGTATCATCTTGACAAGGAGCTTCGTGCTAACAACGGAGTTGTGCCGTGGGCAAGCTTCAACGACCCTGACAAGTCTGGCGAACTACTTCGAGGTGTTGTTAAGGACCTTTACAAAGCTGCGGTCTAGGAAGCCTTATAAAACAGCATTGGAGTCTTGTCTAAAGATCTTGGGTCACTATTCTTCCGATGGCTTAACCGGAAACATGCGTCATTTATTAGTTCTATGGTATTTCTGACGCTGCAGATTTTAAATGTCTTCACCTAGCCTGGGACGCGAACAACCATGGGGCATATACCTCCTATTATTATAAGAGTTTTAGCTGGCACCAAACCTGCCAAGGCTTTCGAAGCGTATACTGAACACATCGTCATAGTACAGAAAATAGCAAAAGGTGAATTGGAAAAACGGGGAATGCTGTATAACTTGCCTTCAAACTAAGAATGCAAATTTCTTTCCTCCATGCTGGATATCCGATATCTATAACCCCCCAAAACCTATCGTGCATTCGCATAGCTCTGTTTATGGCCTGACAGCAAACCCTCTCTTGCAGCAATTGGCCCATCGTAACCCACTGGACAAGCCCCCGCCTCCATGTAGTTCTTAGCGCCCCCAATGTATGGTGCTGGACTCGCCGTAGGTTGCTGCATTGGAATGGAAGTCGGGTTGTGTAAAGTGACCATCATGCCATCCACTGTCAGAAACTTCTTCTTCTGGCCTCCAGACTGTAGTGCTACATCAGGTGTGCGTAGTATATATCCAGGCTTGGTCTTCCTTGGCTCTGATGTTGTGTTGATCAAGTTTGCCATGAGAGAGCTGGCCCAGTGCGCATCTGCAAAGATCATGAGGCCCAGCCAGAGAACGATGGCGAGTAGTAGGGCCAGACAGCTCAGAACAACTTGGAGGCGAGACATAGCCACCGTAAGCTTGTCAACGGTGATCTGCACAAGAGACGGATCGATGCTGACAGAATATGCTCTTGCGACGAGAAGAGATTCGAGAGCCTCGGAATTATTCCTAATCCATGTCAAAACATCGTTGTTAAGCGACTGCGCACTGATATTGGACCGTCCATTGCCAAGGCCGTAAGCAACCATGACAGCTGCTGTGTCAACTTGACCAAAGAATCCAGGTTTGCCCCTGGCAGGTCTGGATCCAGCACAATCAGTGCGAGTGACCTTTCCACCAAAAGCCTCATTCTGGAAGTTCGATCTCTCACATTTCTCAAAAGGCTTTGGTGCGTCGGAAAGGGTCTCGGACCTGATAAGGGTGATATTCGTGGTGGTGATACTGATGAGAGAGTACATAGTCGTCCCATTGGACTCCGCAGTATAAAATCCCCAGTTACTTTGCAATGCAGACTTATTACCATTGTCGGCTGTATTGGCGCCGAATTGATAGCTTGACTTTCGGTCCTGTGCATTCATCATACTGTCCACAATCCGACCGGCAAGCGGATTCTTTCTTTCAGTCTCATTGGCACTCCAGGTTCGTTGAACAAGATCGGTAACTTCTTCCCTGGCAAAAGGTGTCCCAACAGTTGTCAACATGGTGGCTTTGAAAGTAGACTGGCTGAAAGTATGGCGTCTCTTCTCTTTGGTAATGGTAAAGACTTGGTTCATGAGAGCTGAGCCACCACCTCCACCCAGAGAGAACCAGATGTTATCCTCTCTGTTGGGCAACATGTATCTCGAGTCGAAAACTGTATCCGTTGCATTGTTCCAGTGAATCTCGGGTTTACCGGCTGCAGTTGCGATGAGGCTGGTGGAGAAGACATTATTGAATGTGCAATTCCAGGCGGCAGATCCGTTATCAAAGAGCCAGCAAGGCTCGAAAGTTTTGCCGTCAAGGGCGGAGTTAGGAGGTACCATGGAGCCAGTATCTGGAGACACAGACAAGCCATCACTATCAAGCCAGATGCGCGCACCAACCCCTCTCTCTCTTGCAGGCGCCACGACCTCTGGCGGGTCGTTATTGGTCACTTGGCCAGTGAGTGTGTAGTTGAGGCCTGGGACGAACAGGTCAGCGCCAATAATTTGTGGAATCTTCTTTTCCACATCTTGCAGTTGGTCGGAGTCGAGAGAGAGCTGGACAATATAGCTAGGATTCTCGTTTCGCTGGTCTTGGTAATCGGCGATTGTCACATTCGATGCTCGGAAGATATAACCCGGGGAATCCAGCGCCCAGAGGAGTGTACCATAAAGTCCTAAGACGATGTTGAGAAGACTAAAGGCAAGTACGACCAATCCTGCACGCGATAAACCTCGAGATGTAATGTAGAGAGTTCGTTGAATGTAATCTTCAGTGAACATAAGGTATGATGTGAATTGATTTGATCGAGCAGCAATTAAGGAGAAGAGCTTGAAGATAAAAATACCCATAAGTAACTCGGCGCATTTGAAGATAATTGATTTGACCGCATTATGGTACAAGGGTATCGACGATTTGATGAACGATGAAGCTGATTCGATCATCTTGCGGGAGAGGCTTGGAAGGCTAAGGCTTATGCTTAACTGAACCGAGTTTACGATCTGGAAACAGGAAGAAAGTGAACGAGGGGAATGACCTCTTGGCTCAACCTGCCCTGCAGACTATAATTCCGCCCTTTCCGCTACTTCGCCGCTTAGTTGCAGTAATATCTTCGCGATATCCTTATACAAGCTGGTATTTCCTTCGGTGTAAATGGATATCTTAATGCCACTTAACAGGCGATTACTAAAATAGTGTTCCATAGTTGGTGGGCATCTGAAAAAGTGCTAATCATTTCCGCATCAGGCTAGTATTGGCTTTCAGCTGAGAGTTGAAAATCAATAGTGTCTGACAACACAGGGGGAAGAGCCAGGGGTCTTCTTAGTCTAGACTCGCCGAATAACGCTAGTGAAGCCACGCGCCTCCATTCAAGCCTTTATTCACGCTTAGGTCGCGTAAAACTTGAGAGAACAGAAGGATGTATTATTAGGGGCAGACTTTGGGCCTCAGAGAGTGCCCAGAGCGATGGTCATGTGGAGTTTGTGATATGTGTTTCAGGATTATCTGCGGGGGATTTGGAGAGGCCTAAGCACGCAGTCTGTTCTGGCTTTACACTATGATTGGATATGCAGTTGCGTCGCTGCACCTCCAGCAAATATGCCAAGGTGTCAGTGACAAGAAAGGCATTTAATTGAGGGCTTCTATGAGGCTCTTCTGTAAGGCTGAGGATGCTTTTCTCGTTGTCAGCTATATCAGTAGCGCATATCATGGCAATCACATATAATAAGCCCTTATTACAGTAAAAAAAAAAGATAAATCTCAAATATAAATTAATGTATAGGAATATATATGATTTATATCTATCTCGCATATGCATTTGGAAATAACTTATCTTAAGTAGCTACGCGACTTGAACATCCAGTGATTCTGCACAGACTAGATAAAATTAGTGTCCAAAAGTCTCTGGACGCTGCCCGCCAACATGTAATCCACCAGATAAAATCAGACTAATCCTCAATTGTAAATTCGTCCAAAACATCAACAAATCATATCTCAAAAGAATGGAATTATATCTATTTTATACGCAAGTCGCCAAAGAAACCAAAAGTTTAATAATACAGTTAAAGCTCTTATTATGCAGGCGGTAGAGAGCCTGAGGTTATTGCAGGATATCGCTCACGAGGCAGGATGTTCACCACAAACAATCTCGAATATTATTCAACACTAGAAAATTCACCAAACACTGGACAATTTACCAAGATATTGGCTCTGGGCATCCTCGAAAACTCACAGTTCAGCAGATTCGGTATATATTAATTTCACTCAAACGCGACCATCGCATCACATATAAAAAGCTTATCAACTTCATAGGTGGTCATATCTCACGAACAACAATACGCCGAGTTATACGCCTCCATTACGGTCGCAAATAGAGGGCTATGCAAAGAATACCGCTATCTAAAGAAACCGAGCAACAGCGGCCTTTATGGTGTCAAGCTTGGAAGGAAGATTTAGATGAATTATTGGAGGTTTGTCGTTTTGAAGTTGGCGGATAGATATATTTAAAGACAGTGTACTTCTTTTTATCCTAATGCTATATAACATACTTACTAAAATCCTTTTTTTGGAGATATCATTCCATGAGGTGCGTCTTAATCTTGCGCAGAATATCTGGAAACTCGTCCCAACTACTCATGACAAAGTGACAGCCAGCGTTCCCCAGAACTATACAGAGTGCATCTGCCTCTTCGGGCGTCTCACAAGCACCTGTGTAGCCAACCGTAATGATACCAGCGCGCTGAGCAGAGGTTGCACCAGAGCGGCTGTCCTCAACTGCAACGCACTCACTGGCGCCTTTGCCCATCACTTTAAGCACATGAAGATTCACGGCCGGATCAGGCTTTGACGTGGGAACAGGAAGCGAGTCTACAGCGCTGAAGACGTCACTTGGATCAAAGAAGTTGGCCTGCCCAGCCTTGTCAAAACACGCGCGCACATGACGCAGCGCTGATGAAGATACAACAGCGAGTCGATAGTGCCCCTTGAGACGCTCCAATTCAGCATTAGCGCCGTCACATAGTTCCAGGTTTTGCATAAGCTTGGAGATGACGCGGTCGTCTTCCATGCTGACATAGTGCTCCAGCTCCTTGTCCGAGATGTTGCATGAAACATTGAACTTGGCCTCAATAGCGAGGATCTAGCAACCATGACTCAGTTGAGTTTACGTAGCGAATTTTGGATTTAGTAGTTTACCATGTTTTGGAAGTTTTGTCCAACGAACTCGAGTTGCAAATAGCTTCCCGTAAAGCTCAGATCGACTTTTCGGGCAGCGAGTATCTCATTGGTGAGATCGGCACTTGCTTCGAAAGCAATAGACTCGGGCTGGACAAGAGTATTGTCGCAGTCCAGAAGGAGTGTTGTGATCTTCATCAAGTTCATCTTAGCGACACCGACTGGACATGAAATGGGCTACGAACCGTTTCAGGGCGGGATCCCATAGTGGTAGATTACGTTCTGAGTTGACTTGATTCGGTGACAACCTTGCTTTGAGTGAGCAACTTAGAGGAAGATTGAAAAGGATGTCTGATAAATAGCCGATTGCGATACATCATATTCTTACAAATGATATTTCAGCATCGTTACTCGAACCTTTACTCAGTATGTCTCGGCGTTGTCATCGTATTTCCTCCTTTCTCCTTTAACATAAGCGATGACGACGTGAGTTATCATACAGGACTCGCCACTGACAGCACACCCATAGGGTTTGGATATATGACCCCTGCATCGACTCACATCAGCCTTACAGGTCAGCCGACAGTAGTATCCATTATCCCGTACATCCGTGCCTAATGACACGGTAGAACTAATGCACGTCACACCTTCTAAATGCCGCACTCTATTTCAAATCTTAAAATCTATATGCAGTAATAAAAGTGCCTGTCAGCGGATCTTACTCGTCGCTTATGCGATTGACTACCAGTGCAAGATGCGTGAAGGACCTGATGCAGCGTCGGTTTAGGACAATGCATCCCCGGTGGCCTTGTTTCAATGGTGAATGTAACCCTTTTCCGGGTGTATCCATAGATTCACGCGTTACGTACAGGGTCACTTACAGCACATCCTTTCAGAACTACAGTTTTGTAAACGCGCTCCAATGAACCCTTGGTCTGTGATCATGAAGGATTGAAGTGAAACATAAAATTAGCTCACGATCTCCGTGGCAGATCCGCTCTCCGGGATTCCAAACTCGGTGTAGAATTGTGTCGCTGCCTATGCACTCCTTCTGTACCGGCTCGGCTCCGCCGTTTTCTGGACCGCTGCATCTAATTGTTCCTTGTTTTCTCGCTCCGCATGCCTAAAGCACGGCAGTTGACTATTTAAGATGTGATAGTAAGCTGTGACTGAATGATCGGCACCGCTGCTTACTACTATTGGAAATTCGATTCGAAGATATCACACAGTGTCTCATACACGGCCTGGTTTCTCATATTTCACGAAGAACAAGCTTAGAATTTTTACACGGGCGGAGGTTATGTCTGTGTTGGCACTAGGGCTTAGAGTATGTTGAACCCGTATACTACACTAATCCACTTGATTATGGTTACACAGATTGTCCAGATCTTGGCCAGAGAAACTATTCCACCGTCTTACGAAGATGGACTCATCTTCTCCTTCGCCAAGCGAGAAATGATGGATACGCGGTTTTCTGTGCCTGTTTCTCAGGCTACAAGAGGAATGAGAAGCAACTACGGGCCAAATATGGGGCTTCAGGACTAGAAGTTACAAATCATGTGTTTCTCATCAACTGATCCTCAAGAATAGGGAGCACAGTCTATAAATCAAGCTATAAACAGCGTGAACGGAAAGGCTCAGCAATGGTTCACCTCTCCGTCTTCAACGATACAATGGCTCTCCTCCGGTCCTGAAGATGAAGTATACCATTACTTTGGTGGCTCTCCTGTCACAGGTCTTGTCGATCATTGCAGGACAAGATCATGAGTCTACTCTCAGTAGCACGAATGACTTCATCATTGTGGGTGGTATATGTGAATCTCTCCTCAAGTGGCAACTTCAATGAATAACAATGAGTCCGTCGCAGGTGAAACTACTGGTCTGATCCTTGCAGACCGGTTGAGTGAGTCTGGTGAGAATAAGGTACTGGTATTGGAAGCTGGGCCAGATCCGAACGTTGTGGCCATGCATCAAGCCCCTGGTGCCGTTGAATATATCGCTGGTCAGCTAAAATGCAAGTATGAGTCTTTTACAATCGTTGACCTGTTATTGTAGGTACAGCCATCGACTGGAACTTCTATACGGAGCCTCAAAAAGGTCTCGATGGCCGTAAGCTTGCATACCATGGTAAGTACCGAGGTTCATCAGAGAACGCCATTAGTGACTCTCACAGGTGGACATGGTCTTGGTGGAAGCAATATTCTAAACGGTCTCTGCTACGGATGAGGCTCAGCCAATGTCTATGATCACTAGGTTGAGCTAGGGAACCCAGGTTGGAGCTGGAAGAAGTGTATCCATCATTCATCAAGGTAATCACCGTCACCTACTATTCCAGACTCTTCCGCTTATAGTGTCAACAGAGTACTCACTTCAATACTCCCAATAATGGAACTGGTCACAACCAAAAGTATCAGACCTGGGACCCTTCCGCGTACTCTAATGGCCCACTATAAATTGGCTACCAGAGGTTTGTCCCGCCATCGAGCATTGCTTTCATCGACGCTTGTGCGGCAATTGACATCCCAATAGTTCGAGATCTCAACAACGGGAGGAATGTTGGCGTTAAACAAGGCACTGCCACTCTTACCTCAAAGTATCGACGTAGTTCAGCGTACGACTATTACAAGGCTGCCGCCAAACGGCCCAATGTCGACATTTTTCATAACGCCCCTGTTCAGCAGATCATGTTCTCGAGGAATGCAGCTGGAGTCCCCGTTGCGACTGGTGTCAGCTTCATTGATCACTCTCAGGGTCGTCACCGCAGTATTGCCGCTTCAAAAGAGGTCATCGTCACTCTGGGGACTATTTAGTCGCCCCAAATGTTGATGGTCTCGGTAATAACACCTTCGGCACTGCATATTTTCTCTTGTACTTCCCATGATCGGAGGCTAACACGAGACTAGGGTATCGGTCCAGAAGCCACGCTTGATGCTTTCAACATCGAGCCTGTTGCGATCAATGAAAACGTAGGACAGCAGTAAGTCAACCGAACACTATTGGCTATGAGACACTACTCTGACAGCATGCAGCATGGTGGACCATAACCTATACAGCATCTCAGCCACAGTAGTCCCCGAAGCTTCGACCCACCAGCTCATGTTTAACTCAACAGCCGTGGAAGCCTCGCAAGAGGAATATTACACTACTGGCAAAGGAGTCAACACGGCTCCCGGAGGCGTTACTAATGGTTTTCAAGAGCTATCAGGAAAAAAGCTTCAAAAGATTTGTGCTGAAGCCGTCATCGATGCTGGACTTGCCAACCGATCCACTGTGGAACTTTTGTTGGAATCCTTCTTCCATCCTAATAGCCCAGGTCCCACCTACGAACCATCATCGGACCAGTCATATATATCCATCTCGGTATCGAGCATGGTGGCTCTATCCAAGGGTAACATCACCCTCCAGTCGAGCGGCATGTCCGATACTCCAATCATCAACCCCAACGTATGTTGTCGTAATTATAGCTCTCATTATTCGCTCCATACTAACTCCTTTCAGTACTACACTCACCCTGCTGATCGCGCTATCGCCATCAACGCGTTCCGCGACGCACGGAAGATCCTCGACCATTCTGCTTTTGCAAACCTAACCGTTGGGCCGAATCACGGAGAGGCTGCGCCTGGTAGTATCAACATTGCTTCTGATGACGACGAGGCCATCTTTGACTACACCAAGGTTACAACTGTTCCCAATTGGCACGCCTCTGGAACTAATCGCATGCTTCCACTTGAGGACGGCGGCGTTGTCGACTCTCGGCTTCGCGTCTATGGAGTGCAAGGCTTGAGAGTCATTGACAGTAGCATCATGCCTACAGTGCTAGATGTTAACATCGCTGGCCCGGTGTACGTGTTAGGAGAGCATGGAGCAACTATGATTAAGAAGGACCGGGGTATCTGATTACAATGAGTGGGCTTAGATGAGAGGAATTTAGTTCAGTTCATCTTTCTATACTAATATAGCTCATGTAAATCTGATCAAAGGCTTCAGCTTGATGCCTTCTTCTCAACCTTATTTCAGTATGCTGATCGCCCTTATCTGAAGTCGGCAAACTTGCTATAAAGGGACCGGCATAGTTCGCCGATGTTTACCGGGCGCTAATATCTCACAAACCAAGCCATGTCACCCTGCTCGGAATCGTATGGTATATTAGCCGAGTACGACGCGATTATACAAACTATAATACTATCAAAGTAATTGATAGTCATCAGATCGCGGGGTTGGTCGTCGTTCGTCTTTCCCCGCAGCCGCTTGGATCACCGGGTTTCGCCACACTATTGCGAGGATTCCATCTCCTGGACTGGCGATTCCGCTCTTATTTTTAAAGTATATCATCCGTCGTCATTAATCAGCTAGTTCTGGGAGCTTCCGGGGTCAAGGATATGAACCAAACACAACCCTAGTAGCAAGGTGTAGGAACTATTTAATAGACTATTGCAGTCCCATCTTGTGCTTTTATGGGATACAGCGTTCCACCAACTCACACTAGAGACGGCCACTTTTACTCATCATGGGGTATCTGGTTCGGATCCTGCCGGTATTCTTCCTCTGCTGGACGACTGTTCTGGCGACGCTTCCCACATCATATGATGTCGTCTGGAATAGACCCGGTGTCAATGGCTCAGCCGACTCTATGCCTCTTGGTGGCGGTGATATTGGCCTAAACACTTGGTACGAGAATGGTAAGGCAGCCCTCAATATGCATCCTCCATTTGCGCCTGCAAATTATAGTTCCTATTCTCGCTCGGAACTTCTCACTTACTCATATACCGTGTAACAGGCACCATTCTCATGTACGTCGCCAAGAGCGGGACCTTTGACGAGAATAATTCTCTGCTGAAGCTTGGTCGCGTCAGACTGTCCTTTGACCCCAATCCATTTGACAGCAAATCATTCGAGCAGAGACTACTACTCCACGAAGGTTACGTCAAATACACTGGCGAAGACAATGCGACTGCCAAGATTTGGGTCGACATCTTCAACCCCGTCGTGCACGTTGAGGTCGATAGCCCCGAGAAGATCGCCGTCAAGGTCGCCTACGAAAGCTGGCGCTACGAGGATCGCCCCATTATCAACGAGGAGCGCAACCAGGGCTCATGGGGCATCTACACCTCCAAGATCGCAAACGGGACTACATACGCCGATAAGATAGCCTTCCATGAGAATGGTGTACTCATGAGCCATCGTAACGAGAAGCTGGATCTATGGAACTTTCAGATGAAGCAGCAAGGACTTGAGAAGCACTCTGATAAGATGTACAACCCCATGCGCAACAATGAGTTTGGTATCTTTGTCCATTCCGACCAGATGAAACCCGGCGCTGTCACGAACGGCCACTACATCAACACTACGTACAAAGCTTGGAATCTTGAGTCAAAAGCACCTAGCAGGTCTGTAAAGGTTACACTATCCATGTACCAGGCTCAGACTAAGAGTCACGATGAGTGGTACAAGGGTCTTCAGAAGGTCATCAAGTCCGCAGTCAAGAACACCCAGGACGCGACTCTTGCTTGGTGGCACGAATACTGGGCTCGATCTTATATCATCATCAATGAGGACCAGGGTGAGAAGGATGCAGGCTTCCAAGTCGGCAAGAACTACCAGATCTGGCGATACCTCATGGGATGCAACGCGAAGGGCGATTGGCCCACCAAGTTCAACGGTGGTCTCTGGACTTTTGATCCCATATACGTCAACATTTGGCGTCCCTACACGCCCGACTATCGTCGCTGGGGCGGCGGTACATTTACTGCCCAGAACCAGCGTCTGCTGTACTGGCCTCTTCTTCGGTCGGGTGACTTTGATGTCATGACTCAGCAGTTTGATTTTTACAAACGCATCACTCCCAATGCCGTTCTTCGCGGACAGGTTTACCAGGATATCGATGCTGCGTACTTCTTGGAGCAGATCGATAATACTGGCTTGTCAAATGTGTTCGAGTATAACGCGCAGTGGTATGATGATGATGCTAATACTCCGCGACCTGATTTCTTCCCAGATGGTGAGCTCTGGAATGTCTGGTTGAACCATGTGCAGGACACGGCAAAGTAAGTACCGCCCACTTCTCTCCCTCCTGTGAGATCGAATATGGAGGATATCTAACAATTAAATTGTAGTGAGTTCGCCGACATGATTTTACAGGCCAACATCTACTCTGGCTTTGATGTAAAGCCATACCTCGAGTTCATTGAATATCAACTCGCCTGGTTCGACAAATTCTACACTCGAGAGATGCAGAAGCGCAATCCTTGGCCATTGACTGGTATGACCGGTAATGAATCCCTTGTCATATATCCAGGCTCTGGTGCGGAGACGTACAAAGAGTCATACAATCCCGTCTCCACTCTCGCCGGTCTGCGCCAAGTCGTCAAAGATCTCCTCATCGTCGACGAGTATGCACTCCAGAACAAGACTTACTACACTAAGTACCTGGCCAAGATCCCTGCGAACACCTTACGCCAGCAACAAGGTCACGCTTGCATTGCTCCCGCCGAAGCATACACACGCGTTCAAAACAGCGAAGTCCCTCAGCTATACACGGTATTTCCTTGGCCCGAATACGGTCTCGGTCTTCCCAACCTCACGCACGCTATCAACACTTATCTCTACGACACCGAGACCTTTTCGTTCCACGGTAACACCGGCTGGAAGCAAGACGTCATCTGGCTTGCGCGAATGGGCTTTACAGCCAACGCTACTGCCATGACGGAGGACAGGTATGCACCAAGCAAGGTGTGCAAGTTCCCTACTTTCAAGGGACCGAACTTCGATTGGACTCCAGATCTTAATCACTACGGTTCTGCTGCTATTGGACTCCAGGAGCAGCTCATTCAGACTTTTGTTGGGAACGACATTAGATTACTTGCTGCTTGGCCCAAGACCTGGGATGCACGCTTCAAGGTTTGGGCTCCCCATAAGACTACGGTTGAAGGTACGGTGAAAGCTGGTAAGATGGAGAAGCTCACGGTTCTACCCAAATCACGCAAGAACGATGTTATTGTTGGCCAAGATTGAATGGGATAGGTTTGTTAGCGTTAGAAAGAAAGAAATAATTTGTTTTCTACACCTAAAATAAAGAGCTCATAACTAGAGCTGTGCCATGTGAAATAGAAATGGGATAAAGCCTCATACAAGAGCAACGCGTAGCTCGTGGAAGTTTCCAGTTGCTTTGAGGAGATGACGTCATAAAAAGCGTCAAGATGATGAGTGAAAAACCAGCATTGTTTTATTAACTAGCCCAGCATTTGGTATACGACGAGTATATTGTAAATAATAAACGGAAACGACGATCGAAAGAATCCATCTAGGATATTCTCTTAACAAGGGCAAGGAATGATCCAGCAGTTGATCGGAATTGGGCATGGAATGATGCCGCAGAGCCTGCCATCGCAAGCACCACCTCCGCGGAGCTCCATTTGAGGATCTGCTGTCTCGGGGGCCTTCTGAGGATCTATTGAATGTCAGTATTTCGTGCTAAAACTTGGCGCGGCGGTAGTCGGAGCGCGTTGTTGTCTTACCCATTGATTGCTGAGACTTGGGTTGATTGGTCTCCAGAGACTGAGAGTTTCTCATCTCGGACAGTTCTTGTGGCGCAGATTGAGAGGAAGACATTCTGATGGTGTATGAGGTAAGCCTTAGGGCGCGCTATTGAGGTTTGGATCGATGAAATGAGGTTGTTATTGAGGAATTAAAGTTGCGCTTTCAGCTGACGGGCGCTGACGTTATATACGCGGCAGCGCGGTTACGAATGTACAGCACGTGGCGCAGTTGCAGAATGAGGCTGTGCTTCCAGTGAGTTGGTATGGAAGAGTGGCTGTGCCAAGGATCTACAGCTCGGAATGGACCCACTTTATTGCTTCACTTGGTTGTGTTAATTTCATTGACACTATTTCTACTGTTCCATCCTTAAATAGAATTTCTGGACAACAGCACTTGTAGCAAAGACACGCAACTTTACTCTGCCTGAGGTCCAAATCTTACCATCTTCAAATACTATAACACGAGTTAAAACAAATTGGCTGGTTTGAAATCCACTTAAAAGTAAGAAACCAGAAATGTTGTAAGTATCCGAGATCTGAAAGAATGATTAATGTCGATCGGTTACCCTACAGCTTTATGGCAAATAGTGGAGAATAGGCAATATTATATGACTAGCCCGATCTGTCTTAGATCCAATTTCAATTACCTTCAATTCGGATTGTCAATCATGTTTGTACGGGAGCGCTGACCTCAACATGATCAACAAACACTTCAACAGTGGTCATGAAGTCATTCTGCAGAGTCCCCGAACTAAGATACCAGATATAATCACCACTATTAGTGATAAAGAACGTGTCCCAATTGGCGTCCATTGATCTCGTACACGCCTGGAAATTACCCTTGAATAATCACCGTACGATTCTCCCGATTTTGATCTCACAAGTCTTGTTCAATATGCTGGTATCAGGGCTCAAGTTAACGAAAGCTCACCTGAAAATCCGCAATCTGTGACATTTAACGTCATCTATAACAACAATCAATCAATACCCGTTGAACTCTCCACCACCATCACGGAAATCTTCTTCCTCCCACGTCGCTTTAGATTCACGCGGCTTCCGGCTTCCATACCAGCACGTCTCGTTAGGCTCCATCTTCGGAAACCTATCATAGGCCGTTAAGTTGGCATTGAGCTTACCCATGCGGGGATATCTGTCCATCTCCTCTGCTGAAGCTGCCCAGTATCTGACCCTGCTACCCTCAAGCTGAACAGTAGCCAAAGGCTCATCGGCTTCTCTTGGCAGCAGAGCATATTGGACAAGGCCACGCAGCTTCTGGTGGTACCATGGTGTATCCCACCATGTCGCACGTCTTTCCTTGTATTTGTTATGATGCAGCATAGCTGGTACTGTCGAGAGGAAGAAATCGGTATACAGAGGCATGTCGCTCCAGTCAACCGTCTTGCCATGTTCGACCAGCGGGCTTGAAACCGACTTGAGATCATCTGGGACATCCTTCACCCGTACTGGTGATATACCGCGTATCTCAGAGTTCATTTTGATGGGCTCTTGGTCGCTTAGCATAAGCTGAATGGTCTGCGACTTTCCAAGGTTGAAGACCTCATAGTAGTCAGGTCCGTCATACTTGAGCGCAGCGAAGATACCATCGATAATATCATCGACATAAGTGTAATCGCAACGCGAAGAGCCATCTCCAAAGAGCGGAATAGGCTTGCCCTGGTGGATGAGCCTTGTAAACTTGTGGATGGCGAGATCTGGGCGCTGACGGGGTCCATAGGCGGTGATTAAACGGGGGCAGATGCAGCGAATGTCATAAAGTTGAGAGTATGTATGGCAAAGCAGTTCACCAGCCGACTTGGATGTTGCATAGGGAGAGATAGGCTGTGTGCTCTTGTAGTTCTCGGAGAAAGGAGCTTTAGCACCAAGACCGTACACACTCGACGATGATCCGAGGAGAAACTGCTTGACATCAAACTCTCTAGCGCACTGGAGCAGGTTCAGAGTGCCATTGACATTGGTATCCAAGTACTTGTTGGGCTGGCTCAAGGAGGAACAACACCAGCGCAGGCTGCCAGGTGAACAATGGCAGAAAAGCCATTATCAGTGAAAATAGTCTGAAGGGCCTCGAGATCCTCAATGTCGGTTTCGTAAAGCTTCAGATTCGGGTTCAGAAGATGAGGTGCAAGGTTGGCGCGCTTGATCTCTGGGTCGTAAAACTCATCAAAGTTGTCAACGACGACGACTCTCCAACCGCCCTCAGCAAGAAGAGCTTCGACAAGATGGGAGCCAATAAAGCCGGCCCCACCAGTGACGAGAATAGCTCGTCTGGGCTTAGAGGTGTGTGTGTATCCTTGTGATAATCGTCATGCTTGCGAGTGGAGAGAGGTAGTAAATGAAGAGGGTCTGGGAAAATGGAGAAGGTTGGCGGCTCGGATTTGTAGCGGGGAATAGCATATGTAGTCAAAAAGGGGAGATACTCCCCTTTATGGTCTCAGGGCTTGGCGGGGGAGGAATGCTAGTCGCGGTCATGGCAAGAGAGGATTAGGACTGTACATAGGGCTGTACAGAAATGCACCGTCGAATCTTGGGGCTCAAACGGCATGCTCTCAATGAATTATGTATTAAGAAGTAAAGTACTATTATAATTACCCTCTCGTCTTATCGGTACTGCTTTTTGGCTCAAGTGTACGCAATCCGATTACACAAGTGTTTGCTTAATACTTCGGCCTACACATTCGGCCGTTATCGCTAACAGTCCACTGCTCGCTGCCAACTGCATTCCTAGCATAGAAGAATCCTTGCTTATCCCACTTCGCCTTCACAGACAGTAGCTTGTTGTAATTAGCTCCAAAGAACTCCGACTGGAAGTTGGGCTGACGGAAGTCTGCCTCGTTCATGTACGCTCCACTTCCGGGTGTGACAGCTTCAATCTCGGGCATAATTGTATCAGTCATGAGATTCTGAAGATCCAACATGTCTGACCAGGGAGCAGTGAAGTTCCATGGTGTAGTGAGGGTGGCGTGCACGAGGGCGTTGTTCCAGGCTGGAAGAAGTGACTGCTTCTGGGGGTTGCTGAAGGGTGCGACGTTGGTGCCGACACCGATCCATGTGACACCTTGCTCAACGATACTGATGGCAGCTTGGGTGAGGTCGTCATTGTTGTTGACGATGGTGTCGCGGGGGATCAAGCGGCCACCGTACTGGGCAATTCCAACTTGGATGTTACCAATAGGGAGAGGACCAAAGTAGGTATCGTAGTGGTTATAGTAGTTTGCTGACTGGCTGTACTTGACTGTGTAGTTCACACCCAAGGTATCAAGTGAGCTGACGAATGGCGCAAGGAGAGTCTGAACCTCGTCTTGAGACTTGCCGAAAGCTGTCAGAGGGGCAATCTGGAAGAAGGTGTTGGTGAAGTAGTAGACGACCATAGACCCAGCATCAACCATACCAGGGAGCTTGGAGTGGAAGGTTTCAATAGCCTTGTAGAAGGTAGCCTGATCGTTGTTCGTGTTGAAGAAGGCAAGGGTAGCAGCGCCAACCTTGGCATCAGGGAAGGCCTTGACAGTCATAGACAGCACAACGCCCCAGTTACCGCCACCGCCACCGTTCAGAGCCCAGAAGAGATCTGAGTTCTTGGTAGGAGAAGCAGTGACAACACCAGAGTCTGCTGTAACCACTTCGAACTCAAGAGTGTTCTGAGCAGATAGACCAAAGCTTGTGCTGAGCGCTGAGTGACCGCCACCTTGGGTATAGCCACCAGTGACGCCAACGGTAGGGCATTCACCTCCAATAACAACATACCCTGCATCGTTTCCAGCCTTGAGGATGTCAAAGCCTTGGACACCAGCCCCGAGAGTAACAGCCTTGCCCTTGTATCCATTGGCATTGTAGTCCTTGAATTGGATGTCCTTGAGACGATGGGTCCAGACGGAGAGAGCACCAGCACCGGTGGACCTTCCATTATAGTCGTGACCGGTGTTGCGAATGACGAAGCGGATGTTGTTGTTGCGGGCAAAGTTGATGGTGTTGACAACATCAGCCTTGGTCTGCGCCTCGACGGCATAGCGAACATAGTTTCCCAGTTCGCAGGCACGGGACTCAGGTTGGAAGGGATCGCAGCTCTGGTTAGCGAACCAAGGAGCCATGACAGACGAGGAAGAGTTCATACTAAGTCATGTTAGCACAAGGCTACACTGCATCAATGTCAGACTTACTGGATCCCGGGATGCTGCCATTGGTCCTGAAGGTACTTGCACTGCACAGCATCGTACGTAGGATCGTGACAAGGCGACCCCAAAGGAACAGTCTTGATCAAACGACCGTTGACAGTCGTGTTGAGACTCTTCCATTGGCTATCCGAAGGCCAGCAAGCATCACCAGGAAAGCATTTACAGCTAGATGTAGTAGCATACGCCTGGGCAGTGGAGAATGCCGCAGCGGCTGTAACGAAGCTTGTCACTTTCATGGTTGATGTCCTGCAGATGAAACACTACCTGCGTGAGCAAAAAGGAACAAGCCAGTTAGACAAAGGGTGTGACTCACAGAAAATGCTACAGTGTCGCAGATCTTGCAGAGAAAAGAGGGTGATTCTTGTCTGTTTTTACTTTTTGGGTTATATAAGTACTATTAGAGTTTCGTCGTGCATCGTAAGCATCGGTGCGTTTGTCTTGAGAGAGCTAGTCCCACCGATGATAGTGCGCTTTGAAAGCGGAGACAAGGCACGGAAGTGGCTCACGGGCCGGGGCTGGGCTAGGATGTTTAGGTTCACCGGCACAACGGTCTACCTGACAGGTTCCATGTCAGAAGCTTATCTCGGTCGAGCCGGTAATGGGTTGCCAAGGCCCTGGGGGGTTCAACAGCCGGGAGAAGTGTTCCATTATGAATGGTCCATGAACGTTCTGTCAGTTACCCCTGCATGAAGATTGTATTTCGCATCGTCTCGAGGAGAAGCGACCTGCCAAATTGAGTTTGTGGCTGTCGGAGTGCGTCAGATCAGACCATGGTCTCGGAACAGAGCTAATTTCGAAGGAATCAAGTTTCTTTTTTTCTAAAGAGAGTAATGTATAAGTCGGCTGTGCTCTGCCGGATTGTGCTCTCCATACTGTTGTCGCATATTTTCCAATGTCAGGCTGGACTTACAACGCCCCGAGCGGCTCGCCAACCGATGGCCCTCAGATCACGTCTATCGCTGTTGTCTTTACAGCCGTTGCGCTCCTTACGGTTCTCCTGAGAGTTTATGTCAGAGGGTTTATGCTCAAGTCGGTGGGAGCTGGTAAGAAGAGCCTGTCAATTCCCTGTTGTTCATCGGCACTGACGCGTCCTGTTTGTAGATGACTGGATCATCGTCGTGACATGGGTAAGAAGGGATCTGCGTTCGATCCCCAGATGACAGACATACTGATCAGCAACAGATCGCGAGCTGCGGATTCGCTGTTGTTACCGTGATACGTGAGTAAACTTTCGCTAAGATCGAGTGTTGCCGATCACCAGTTGACACATTCTAGAAACGAAATGGGGGCTCGGATTGAAGAAACTTGACGACTTGCCTCCGCAGAACTACTACAACTTCATGCTGGTCAGTCTCCTATACTCTATCAATCATCTGTCAAAAGCTAATGCCATGTGTAGCTACAATTCATGGGCGCGCCATTGTAAGATCGACTCCTCGTGCGATACCGAACAATTACTTACCGACGACGAAAAGTTACATATCTAGTATTCTTGGGTTCAAGCTCAGCCTTTTGATCTCGTACTTGAGATTCATGGCGTCGGGCATATGGTACAAAGTGACAGTCGGCGTTGCTGTTGCTTGCACACTGTTCCATCTTTCTTGATTGCGCAGATCAACCTCTGTACACCTGTACGTGGCCCCTCAGACGAGCTTAATACTTGGTTTTGCTAACTCGACCTGCTCATAGGTTCGAAAACAATGGGATTTGAGCATTACGCACGGCTCCTGTCTCAAGGGCGTGCCCATGTACACCACTATGGCCTCGATAACCATCGTCTTTGATGTTGTCGTGTGAGTATTTTCGACGCTGGTGATCAGAAGCCATCTAACAAGTATAATGCAGCATGATGCTCCCGTTCCCGACTCTGCTGAAGCTACAAATGCCGAACCGCAAGAAAGTCGTCCTCCTCGGTCTTTTCGCCATGGGAATCTTTATCTCCATCATCCAGATCGTCCGCATTCAGACCATAAAATCCCTCTCCAACCTTCTCGACTCAGCCGGTCTCATCAAATGGTCAATGGTCGAGAACAATCTCGGAATAATAGTCGCCTGCGTCCCGACCCTCGCCCCTCTTGTGCGCTACTTCAGCGAGCAGTCCCGCGTCGGGAGTCGCAGCCGCAGCAAGTCGCAGAACAATTCCGGTTACGCGCTGCAGTCGACCTACCGCAAGAACCTTTCCAGAAGAAGCGGATTGCAACCTTTGGGTAGTGGGGTTGATGAGCAGATTGGTGATAGTGCAGAGGACATTTTGGCCAAGGAGGATGGAATCATGCGCAAGACGGAAATTGTGATTAGTTCAGCTCAGGGACCGTTGGATAGGGGAGAGCTCACTCCGAGACACTATCATGGGCGGTAGACATTACGATTTATTAGTTAGTTTTAGTGTAAGATGCCAATGCACAAGTGACAAATGCTTGTTAGAAAAGGTCTCGAACTATTTCTCCTCAGCGTCGTGGTAGGGGTCATAGTGTTGATTGGGCCGCATCTGAATTCGTCATATCATCTTAACGCATTTCATTCTAGTGTTCGAAAAAGCAAAGAGTCCAGCGAATTGTTCCAGCAATGCAAGTGCAGGGTTTCCCTGCAGCATAGTGGCCCAGACGTCAGTTTTGGGGTATTCGCCCGTGCGCTCTCAGGTTCTTGCGGCTAAGTCGGCTCGGATCTGTTCCATTGCACGGAACTTGCCATATGCCGAGGTGGTATTTTACTCCATAACTATTCGGCGATATACCTGACCTCTGCCGATGGTGATAATAGATATGCTTATATTACTAAGTTTTAGCTCAACGACAAGCTTTCTGCTACGAAAGCCTCTAGACGAGATAATATCCGCCTGTACTAAAGCCAATAGTGTCCGGTACTAATATTTAGAGCGAGACGACATCAATTGCCGAGTTAGAAGCGCTGAATATTAATACCTTGAATATGATTCTAGTCTCTCGTAAATTACTAATGCTACGGTGCGCCGATAGTGCCGAAGGAATACACGGTTGTTTGGCCGAAGTCTTTGGTGTTTGAGTCAGTCCAAATTCACTAAAGTAACAATACTATTGCGAGCGGGGTCACAGAAACTCAGTCGGTCAACCAAGAAAGCGAGGCCATAAGAAGTAGAACAATTAGTATACACACTTAAAATGTAAGCCAAGCCGCTGACGCACTGGTTCGCCGAGCAGCGTTCGTATTAGAATTCGCGGAGTAAAAGAATAATGCATTATCTAGAAGGCTTACTGTCGTTTACCTATTCCCGTGGAGCAAGAAAACTCCATACATTAAGTCAAGATGCTAAAGCTAACTGGTCTAAAGTACTAAGATATAATAAACTTCCCCAAGTCTTATCACTACTTCGGAGAGAGATTTTAAGTCTTCTTGCCTACCCTAGCCCATTGGGATTTCGATTTGAACAACTCCTTCACGACGTATAAAGACCGCTCAGTGCACTGACGACCAAACCAATAGATCCAATAGCTTTGAAGAGTTCTTTGCTAATTCTGATGACCATGAGAGCTTTTCTGGAACATGCAGCTAAATACTGATGACATCCGCCAAGATCAACTGTTGGCTCAGACTTGCACAGACTTTATCCTCACATTTATGCCCTCCATCCGTATCTTGCCCGATTATATAGCTCTCCTCCTTGTGACCAATCTAGCAGCCACTGCCACATGACCAGTGATGATCATAGCAGCTTCCAAACTTGGCCGTCTTCCTGCACGAGACACCACTAGTTCCGACAGCAGAGCACGAGTTGCCGCCGGACTGGAGAGCCGCGAGGAATGTATCACGAGCTTGCTTGGCCGAGATACTGGAGCAAACCTGAGTGCACGAGTAGCTGCAGGTGGTGCCGGCATCGTTGGAGGCAGAGCAGGTTCTCTTGCATGCCTCAACTCCCGCGATGGCGGAGAGGGCGTATACAACGTAGAGTGGGTTGACCATCGTAACGAGTTCTAGGCTACAGTATGTTAGTAAGACAGTAGAAGGATGGATAATATGGTGCGATTTACAGGAGTGCGTGAAGAGATAGTGTTGAGAGAGGTTATTTTTCAGTTGCTTGAAGGTGAAGTATTTGTTTGAAGTTCTGGTTATTCGAGAGGAGATCAGGCTTTTTATACATCGAGTGCATCCCTAATAGTGCAGGTGATATCTGATGATAGGAACCTTTTTACTTGACCTTGGTCTAGAGACATACCTACGCCTCTCCATTTCTGCATTTTCCAGCACTTAATGCACCTCAATCACCAACGTGGACTGATCTCGATGACGAGAACTCACTATGAATATTCGTATTGGGTTACCTACACAGTCGAAGGTAGTATTCATCTCGTGATACCAGTTCTAGATCAAACAAATATCCCGAGGTCCATCCAATGATGATGACTGTCCTGATCTGCTTTGCATACAATTTCACTAGTCTCATGCAAGTCGTATTTCATGTTGCATTGAGTTTTCAGCTGAAAATGTCCCGCGCATAAATCGTCTCCACAGTCAATTCGAGCTTCCTATTTCATCAATGCGGAGGGTTTCAAACCGGAAGATCACCAGCGGCTGCGCAGATTCATTCCCCGGAGAGTGCTGTGCCGTCCAATAGTTGCATAGCTTGCCGCAGAAGTGCGCTGTGCATGCCCGATTTTCGCTAGTATTTACGTGCCCATTTTCGTATCTGGCAACTCGTCTCGGAATATCGCCTTTTCATGCAGTCTATTGGCCCTCGTTGCTCCCGACTTCCTTGGGGGGTAGCTTGCGAGTAGGCTATTGGGGTTAGAGTTATTCAGCGGGCACCGGATGCAAGGTCCTTTTGATGCCCCTCGCTTTGTAGTAGCAACAAAAACCTTTGCATGGAGAAACGATGCATCTCACACGAGATTGACGAGGCATGAATACCGGCCAGTTCTTCAGTGTATCCTTTTCCGTCTGGAATGGAAAGGATCCTACTGGCATGTGCTTATGCACTGGAAAGGTCTCTGGCCCCAGTGCTATCATTGTTGAATCCTGTAATGGCAGGCCTTGCGCCTGAATTCTTTCTTCGGCAAAGAGGTATACTGGAGCTCCCTAGTTCTTGCCTACATGATGCAGCCAATGCGATCTAGAACTTCATCCTATATTCTTGATTATTTACATCGCGATACTTCTATTGGTCAGCGAAGCCAGCCCTCAGTTATGTCTCATCCAATCGACACTTGGGCCCTACAAATTTCCGATGCTGCGCGAGATAGCCTCACTATTTTGCAGCGTCAACATGAGGAGCAGTGCTAGGCCTAACACCGCCCTAAAACGTATGAAGTGGCTTTTGATCAAACTTAGGAAGTGAAGCAATGGTGATCACTCAAGCTGCTCCATTGGAGTCTGGAGATATCACTTAAGGGGTCTTCTGGGTGCCTCGCGCTCACCACGTCTACACTTCTTATCAGCCTGACAGAAATCGAAGCAGGGATGGAAATTCGTGACTCAATATTATATTACGGGCAAGACTCCTATATCGGATGCATAACCACGTGAGCGGGCCTACGCCTCACCATTATAGAAATATTACGAAAAAAACAGCCAGCGTGTACAGTATTTGCTTCACCGTGCAAGACTATACTTAAGTAACGGCTATCAGCGATATTCAAGCCTGAAATATTACCTACAATGCTAGTAGTGTATGGAACATACAGTGCGTGGCGGTACCAAGTGACATGACGAGTCAGCCTCAACATGATATGATGATGCAGATCCCTAGGTTCCAGCGCAGCCGGAAAAGATCACGATATAAACACTAATCAATAAGCTAAGAAAATCTAAAATAAACAACAAACACGACATCTGGACATTTTCAAGGTACCAGGGGCTACACCGATCCAAAGCCAGATCGTCGGCATTTAGCAGTGGCAATACCGAGAAGCGGCGTACACGTTACTGTACCTGACGGCGGTGGATCTCCGTTATTCCCGTGCACAACCACGATACTCAGCGAACCTCATGGTCCAAGTACGTAGCGACGTACCACAAGTTCGTGACAAAAAACTGGCCGAGACGTGGATATTATGACTATTCTCCCGGTGTCGCAATCACTCATGACCTTCAGTCTTTTAGTCAAGAGGTCCACTAAGTGGAGCTGCAACACAAGATGCCTGACCCAACGCGGCGGGTCTGGCCGAGTCAATCGAACGAGCTTGGGCCATTATTAGATTTCTTTAAATCTTTTCCTTGAACTCAGGCACGAGTCTTGGGATCGGCATCGGAGAATGGCGTTGATTGGAGTAAGCGAGAGATACGTTCTCTTTTTTGTGTTGAGGCTCATGATGTGAAGATATGTCGTGAGTGGAGATTGATAGCGGTGGACGTCAGGTAGTTTTTACCGTATAAATAGAGTATAAGTCGGTGACTTTACTCTCAAGATACGATATTTGCATTGACAACAATTGGATCTAAACATTGTATCGAAAAGACATTACCAACATGGAGCGATCAAGGTCGACTTCACCTACTCTGTTCCGCGAGGAAGCGGCAACTCCAGATATCGAAAGCGCACCGACTTCGGTACCTCCAAGCCAGATAGACCTCTCCGCTGGTCCAGAAAACGAAAAAGAGCCAGAGAAAAGAGACATCGAATCAGACGTTGGTGCCTGGCTCTGCGTCTTTGCATCTATGCTATTCCTGATATCTTCCTACGGTAAGCACCATTACTTCAACTCCAACAAGGCAGTTACTGATGAAATTCTCTTAGGATTCATGAACTCCCTCGGAACAATCCAATCCCATCTTACTCTCAACGAGCTGAGTGGCTATAGTGTCAGCCAAGTTGGATGGATATCAGGAACTTATCTCTTTCTCTCCCTCATCTTTAACTTCCAGATCGGCTCTATCCTAGATCGCTATGGTCCTCAGATCCTCGGCCCGATCGCCGCAGCATTCTCCACTGTTACATTCCTTCTCTTAGCTGAGTGTACACAATATTGGCACTTTATCCTCTGTCTCGGCCTTTTTGGCAGTATCGGGAGCGGTATCGGTGCTGTCACAGCTATCGGCGTCATCGGCAAGCTTTTTACTCGCCGTCGCGGTCTTGCCATGGGCATTGCCGTCATGGGTACTTCGCTTGGTGGTATTATTTACCCAATGATGCTACGTGCTACTTTTGGCAAGCTTGGCTGGGCTTGGTCGATGAGGCTTGTTGCGCTCGTCATTGCCTGCATCACGTCACTTGGCGTGTTATGCTATCTACCATTCCGTCGTCTCACAGAAGGTCAACAAACGGTTCAAAGGCCCCAGAGCTTCAGCCTAGACTTGTCGGCTTTCAAGTCTTTAAGCTTTGTCGTCACTGCACTTGGTATCTGCATGGTTGAGTTCGTCAACTATGGAATCAGCGGCCTGTTGCCGACTATCGCAAGAGGAGCAGGATTTTCTACCGAGGATGGATATACTCTCCTATCAATCCTGGGTGCTTGCTCTTGCTTAGGTCGTCTCTCGATCGGATTCGTGGGAGACAAGGCTGGGCCGTTCAATGCTATGATCACCACCATGTTTGTCATCCTGGTGTTTATCTCCTCCATCTTTATCCCATTCAGCACGACCTCAGCTTCTCTCATGTATACCTTCACTGCACTTTGGGGATACTGTTCTGGATCTTTCTACGTACTGTCGCCTTGTAAGTTCCTCTGTCGCCATTCACTTCGCTCACTACTAACATACTGCAGTATGTACTGGAAAGACCTGTGAGCCTCAAGATTATGCTCGGTACTTTGGTAAGTATTTGGCCTTGGACCTTGGCGAGATTCAGCTACTAACTGTGGAAAGGCTCTACAAACATGTGTGTGGCTGTCGCACTGCTTCTTGCAAATCCACTAAGTGGAATCTTGCTCGAAAGGTTGGGCGCTCAGCTCCTAGGTTGCTTCTATCTCGCTATCATCGTTCTAGCTGCCATCTTCTTTATTACAGGGCGATCACTCCTACTTGGAAAATGGCTCGTCCTCCGCAGAAGGTTGTAACAGGGACTTATGACTTGCGGTTTTATTTTTCGCATAATCAATGGCAAGAGTGCCATAAAAAGGCAGAATTACAACAAAATGGCGTTATTTAGGAAGCATCACAAGCTGTTATGGAAAAGGTAATGAAAAGTGGAATTTACATGATCTAGAGGGAATCTGGAATCCGGAAAATTATAGAAAAACAATTAGAACAGCTCCCAGTAGGGAATACTTAATCATAATACTTTCATCGAGTCTGTATAACTGCTACGCTTGAACAACCCCTGCTTAAAACAAACCTTTAGCACTACAAGAATGCTATTTGTTATCGCGGCCATCAATGTTACTCGTCAAGCCTTCTTCAACATGCTGCATTGTTTTCCTCAAATAAGGCGATGACAGCAGAGAAATGTGATTGGTTGCATTTCATGGTGATCATGACTCCAGTGCGTTCAAATGCTTCCGCATCGAGACAAGTCTGGTGGGGCTGAATAAATGCTGAGCCTCGATACGAAGTTACGCGTTCATCAGTCTTGTATTTCCAGTTGTATTTCCTGACATGACTTGCTCGACATAATTATCCTACTTACAAGCCAATCATACAAGTCAGCCCATCAAATGAAGGCTCGACGTATCGTTGGTCCGCTAGATCAGCGTAAGAGGTTAACTCGCTGCCAATCATGTGCAAGGCGACGCATCAAGGTTCGAGAGACATCGCAAAACGTCATCCAACTGCAACTAACGCGAAGAAAAGTGTGAAGGGGGCATCCCTTGCGAATACTGTATCCGCATGAAGAAGCACTGCCAGCCCCAAGCCGTCGCAAAATCGGGGCTGACATTCGTAAGCCACTCAGTGCCTCAGCAAAGAAGCAAGCTGCAGCCGCAAATCAGCGACAAGCCCGACAGCGTATACTTGAAGACATTCTTCTTGTTTCTTAAACGTTGCGAATTCACACCTGAGTTTGCAAATTTGGGCACCGACTTTCTGCCTCTGATTCAAACATGTGCACCACTGCGAGAAGCAACAGTCGCGATTGGTGCCCTGGAAATCAGTCGAGCACCAAGTGCAAGGTCTTTTGATGAACTTCAATCACCGTACCACTTCGCATTGAAATCATATAGCAAGTCACTTACAAGCCTTCAGCTCTGCCTCCAATCACCGGACGCATTACATTGCCAAGGTGTTCTTTGGTGTACATTACTTCTTGGCTTATTCGAGGTTAGGGAAGGCCTCTTACTTAACAGCTCGTATCTAATCCTTCTTGCAGTTGATGGTCGAAGTCTCTGGTGGCCAGTGGGCTAAGCATATGCTCTATGGCACATCAAGAATATTTCAGCTTTCTGGGGCCGGCAGTCGTTCTGATTATCTCGGCTCTCAGTCCTTTGAAACATTCAGGTTGTTGGAGGGGAACCGAGCAATTCTCTACGGCGAAGATACCGTACTATCCGACTACTCGTGTATGGACCAATATGGCATGATCGCATCAAGCCCACTAGACGAAATTCTTACCTTTATGATCAAGATCTCTTCACTCAGCAAAAGGTTAGTTTTGCCAACGCGTAAATAACTAGCACTTACAAAATGCCAGTTTCTTTGACCAAATTGAGTCAATTCCAGAAGATCTGCGACAAAGCCATGTGGATCTAGATATACTGGCCGCAAAGAGTTGTCTTTTCCAGTACGAACTCCAGTCTTGGCACTCGCAATCCAGTGTGTCCATCAAATCATCTGGACCGTATGGAAAGCTCGCGTTGGCAAATTACCATGCCATTCAGCTATTCCTGTGCAGGAACTTCACCTTTTATGACTGCTGGGACACGAGAATTATCCCTGTTCTCACTTCTAGTGAGATTGAAACTCATGTTACTAGTGTGATTTCCTATTGCTCTGAAATCCTCGAGCATTCTAAAATCGCTGGAGTGTTAGCGATATTTCCACTTCGAATGGCGGGTGCGAACTCTGTGGATTCTCGAGCGAGAAAAGAGATCATAAGACTGCTGGATTTAATATCACAGAAAGGATTTGTTGTGTCTGGGAGGATCAAGGTTGATTTAGTAGAGCTCTGGGAATACCAGTACCGGAACAGTAAAGTGTGTGACTCAGTCTGAACGCTTGAGTTCAGGTCATATACCCAAACAATATATTCCGTGTTTCTGAAAATAAGATGGCGTAATACTGAACCAGAATTTTACTCTAAATAACTCGAATACTGGGGAAAACCTCATCGCGGCGAAAAACCCCATCAATTACACTCAACGGTCTACTTGGCCTGAATGTTGAAGAACTCCATGATGACCCGGGTACGAAGCTCCGGCGCAAAGTAATCGTAACCAACAATAACACCACACTCGTTGACAAAGACTGTAACAGGAATCGCATTCTGGTACATGATGCTCCACTGGAATGAAAAGTTAGCAATTACTCTTCCGGCGGGCATGAAATACTTACTGCTGCAACAGGAGTCGGAGTGAAATCCCTCTTGACAAATCCCTCAAAGACAGCTCCATTATCAATCAAGACAGTCTTGTTGAGAATAGGATAGTTTGAGTTCACGTATCCTCTCCAAACACTTGGTTTGGCCTTCTTGGGATCATATGTAATCAAGGTGTTGTCAACTAAGCCCAACTTGGTGACGTTGGAATAGTCAAAAGTCGAAGAGGCAAGAACACCGTCGAAAGCTTCGTCAGCTCGTACAAAGCCCTTTGATGGGGAGTTTTGGATGAATCCAGCTGTGATATGTGACAGTTCACCATTCCTGAGTTTGGGTGAGTAAAATGCAGAGCAATTTGGATTTTGAAGGGATGGCTCACCACTTGTGCTGTACGAAATGTGCCTGGTATTCTGGCTTGATAGCAGGCGGTTTGGGCTCTTTGAAGCCATAAGAGAACGGAGTCATTGAGGCAGGGAAGGGAGGGCAGCTGGAGGAGGAAGTTATTCCAGCTACTGCAGTAGCAAGAGTGATGAAAAGAATGTTGAAGGTCTGCATTTTGAAAGAGTCGTAGTTAGTAGTAAGAGATGTCTTTCTAAATGAATGTGTTTTCAAATTCATTCCCTTGGACATTGCTCTGTCTTTATACTGTGAAGTCGAACTATGTTGGATATTTAGGTGCGTTCAGTTACTGCTAGATTGGGTTAGACGCACTTGTCGAAATTGAAATGAGGCTGAGTTGTACGCGGAATGAAGACCACGACTATCCTGCGTTTAATTCTTTCCTGTTTTGTCTTTCCGATATTCTAGTATGGATGCAAGTCCATCATCAATTTCACGTAGTTACGGAACTATTTCTCGTATCATCAATCTGTCAAATTTGCGCCTATTTTGACACTACAATTCGACCAATTTCGCTTGGCAAAACATCAACTCAGCGAATACTAATATCAGCTCACTTCGTGAAATCGAGTCCTAACTTAGTTGTCTTCGCAAAAGATTTCATTATAGAGCATGGGCCAGTCAGGCGACGGTATAATCACCATACCTATAATTCTGGCGATTTAACCCTGTTGTCGTCTTGCTTCTCGCGTTCTCGCTCGAGTCATGCAACAAGAACTGCCGGCCTCCGACGAGTCATAGCCCGGACCGGCTCTATGGTCACGAGTGTCAGCAATATGCGTATGACAAGCCCGAATATCTGCATTTATGCTTACTCGCCTTATTGCCCGACTCAGCCTCAGAGGTCCCATCAGCGGCGAGGTCAAGGCATCTACAAAACCGTTCTTCTCCCCTTTATGCCCCTCGCATGACGGTGCTCTCCTCATCCACGTCGATTTCCATTGGACAAGTCATCCTAGGCTGCCTCAACCTACGCTCATAGCAAGCCATATCACCATAATAAGCATAAAAAGTGCAGAACTGGCTGACTGCTGAAGTTATGGATACTATTAATAATTTAGCCCCCACCCAGGACTTTTGCACAAGCGCTTGCACCAACTGGAAATAGCTCTACAAGGCGCTGCCAAGAAACATGTATCACCCAAGTCCCAGAAATGATGACCGCAGCAATTTTCGCCATACTTTGTTCAGCTGCTACTTTCGAGCGCATTGACGTGGCTGCTGCGCTGAATTTGGATGTTTTTTTCAAATCGCCGTTAGAATGTGACCTGAGCCACTCATGATACTGGTCCCGTATGCCGGTGCTGTCAGCGCGGGTGAGATGGCCAATGGAAGGACATTTAATCTTACGAGCTTATGAGCTTGATTTTTGGTCCCCAACACAGCCTCAAGGACGTGTTTGAGGCTTGTATGTATATACGAACAGCTATTTAATCCATTCCTTCTGCTGCATCAACTCAGTCAGGGCTGTTTCAGAACTCTGTCTGGCAACCTTTTCTTATTCTTCTCAGACACTCATCACTTTGTTTCACTCTTGGTTTCAGTATGGGCATCATACCTCGTGGATCCTCTGGCTACGATGCCAAAAGCCTCTGCACGACCCCAGCATGCATCAATATTGCGGATGACATCCTAGGCAGCATGGCTACTAACCATGCAAAGATTGATCCATGCACTGACTTCGACGAGTGTTAGTCTCTTTCCTTTTACAATTCAAGAGGTTTTCGTAAACTTATGTTTTCACAGTGGTCTGCGGCAACTGGGCAGAACGCAACCCGATCCCAGCAGGTGCGGGATCTGTAGATGTTCTGGGAGCTGTCCAATTCCATGTTTACGATCTCGTTCGACGCGTTCTCGAAGGACCCTACCCTTCAGGCCCAAACGCTGGCTGGATAACGGTCAATCTCACCAAAGATGAGACTAAGGCTGACAAAGAGAATTTTGTCAAGATGCAGGAAGCTTACCAAGTCTGCATGAACACAACTGCCCATGAAGAAGAGGGTCTTAGCCAACTTCGACAAGTGGCCAAGACTATTGTAGCAGCACTCCCTGCTTCCAGCAATGGAAAGAAAGGGACTGTATACGATCATTCAAATGGAGTTGGGCAACTTCTTACTCTGTTCGAGAGCCTGGGCATCGAGACGACGCAGAGATTTATACAGGTTGCAGAGCCGCTAAACCCAGACAAGATGGCGCTTGGCATCCAGCCACCCACCGACTCCGGTCTTCCATCCACTCCTGAGGATATGTTTAACTTCTTGAAGATCGCGAGTGAACTTATTTACTCTGTTCATCCTGCCAACTTGACCAGAGGCGAGGCTCAGACTTTGATGGAGTCGGTCGTCGCCCTTCAGCTCTCGCTCCAGCCAGTAGCCGCCCCCGAGACAAATGCGACAGAGGAGGCGGGCCAGGACCAAGATACCGAAGAGACCACTGAGACGGATATGTACGTCTCTATCAGCGATATCCAAGAAGTTGCTCCACAGCTGAACTTCAAATACGTCGTTGATCAATTGGCGCCTGAAGGGTTCAATGATTCCAAGATCGTATTCACCTCTGCAGAGCTATACAGGAACATCTCACAGAAGTTCTCCCAGACTCCTCCTGAGGTCATTCAAACTTTCTTCCTTTGGAAGGCCATCGCTGCTGTGTCTATCTATGTCGACTCGCCACAGACTGAAGCCTACAACACATGGAAATTCAAGCAACAAGGCAGTGATCCCGGTAGTCCTCAACCTCGCTGGCAGCGATGCGCGATTCTTCTCGACAATGGCGTTGACTGGATCGCAAGCGACAAGATCGCTTCTCAACTCGTCGGTCCCACAGGTCTAACTTGGATTCTCGCCCGATTCTTCGCCGATAAGCACTTTACGCCAGATGCTAAGAAGTTTACATCTCAGATCATCGATAACCTTGAGGAGGCTTTTATCGGGCGCATTGGAACCAGACCTTGGGCTACTGATAAGGTCAAGAAAACTGCTGTTGAGAAAGTTCGCGCCATGACGAGCAAGATCGGTTTACCAACCTCCCCCCATGTCACTGACCCAAAGGTCGTGAGGAAGTTTTATTCCGATATCGAGATCACGCCGTCTTTGCTACTCAATAGTCTTTCCTTCGCGAAGTCCCGAGTTGCCAAGAACTGGGCATCCCTTGACAAGCCTGTTGATCGACAGAAGTTCCCGTCTAGCACTCTCACTACCAACGCCTTCCATCAAGCCTCAGGAAACACCATGATAATTCTAGCTGGTATTCAGCAGTCCCCCATCTACGATGCCGGCTATCCCGCTTATATCAGCTACGGCAGTATGGGCAGTATTGTTGGGCATGAAATCACTCATGGTTTCGATAACAATGGGCATCAGTATGACAAGACGGGTAACAAGAGCGCATGGTTCGATGAGAAGTCAACAGCAGGATTTAAAAAGTCCACTGAATGTTTCGTCAAGCAATACGGCAACTTCACCATCACTGGCCCCAATGGAGAAGAGGAGAAGATCGACGGAGACCTCACGTTGGGTGAGAACGTTGCAGACGCAGGTGGTATTCTCTCTAGCTTTGCCGCATGGAAGAAATGGGAGAAGGACAATGGAAAAGCGCAAGATCTGCCTGGGCTCGGTAACTTCACGCATGAGCAGTTGTTCTTTGTCAAATGGGGTCAGAATTGGTGTGAGAACATCAAACCTGCGCAGGTCATTGCTGGGTTGACGGATGAGCATAGTCCAAACCAGGCTAGGATTTTGTTGCCGGTGAAGAACTCTGCTGATTTCCAGCGAGCGTTCAAGTGTCCTCAGAAGAAGCCTGTTTGTGAGCTTTGGTAGATAGTGTGCGTGGTATGGTTTGGTTTCTTATTTAAATTGTGTATCGCATTCTCTACTCATGGCTGATAGACCCGCGGACCTTGACTCGTAACTTATCTGAGTTTGTTCTTGATTTAGTTATGAGCTGTCTTAGCTAGCTTATTTTATATGACTTTTTTTTGTTCTGTATTACACATCACTGCTCCATGAAGATAAATGCTTAAATATGCGTCTTAAGATTGTCTCTGCTGGTTCTTTCGGAGTAGCGGGATCCGGCTTTTGGGGTGGATACTGCTAGAGATAGGCACAGGCCCCGATTGGACGAGTCGTGAGAAGTCTGACATGAATGCTAAAATTAGAAAAGTGCATGATCAGACGAGGCAGATCCACAGGCGACAGAACCTCGGTAATTTTCATCCCTACTTCCGCAGGATTATCAACTACCCTGTAGTTAGGAATTTCTGCGCAAATCTGTACTCGAGAGCAGCACTCTCAAATTAGAACAATTACATGTAGTCAAGAATATTACAGTTGGAAACGGCCATGCAGTTGTACCCTGGGATACTCCTGCTACCGTATGGATTCCCATCACGTAAATAAACGCACTCCTGTTTCATGAACGTCATCATTATCATAAACTCAGCCCCTTCATAATCAGATGAAATATGGATTGCTTGAACTCAACAGCCTCGTTTCAAGTAGAGGTCTTCAATTTATATTTCTACTTTCGTGCGTTTTTCTAACTCATGAAAACCAAAGACTGAGCAAAAAACAGCACTCGAAGCGCATTCAAATCGAAAAACAAAAAATACACCATCAAAAGTCCAGCTGTCTGTCAGTGTACTTTGTACTTTGTTCTGTCTTTCCAACCCTATATCTTTTCCCATACTTTATTTATCCCTGCGCTTGCGCTCACTTCGCTCACTTCGCTCACTCCGTTCACTTCGTCGATGCTTCTTGCTGCTCGAAGACTTGCTCGTGCTCGAGGCCTTGCTCACGAAAGACAGAGCGTCCGAGTCGTCTTTGATCTTGGATGGCTCCTCTGGAACAGCTGGCGGCTCTGGCTCGGGGAGGACATCTGATTCTTGGGGGGCTTCGTCCTTGCTCTCGTCTTGCTCGCTGGCTGCTGAATCTTCCTTCTCGGGCTCTGCCTTGGGCTCCTTGGGTGTGTCGGTGCCGCCGATAAGTCTGGGTACGCGCTTGCTCAGGCCTCTGTTGACTTGCAATGCTGCTATCGTGGTGCAGAGTCCGCCGATTCCGAGGACTGCTAGAGGGAGGTACTCTGCGCCTCTGATTCGGGCGGCTATGGTGGTGCAGACTGCTCCGATTCCGAAGGTCTTGAGGGATGGGAAGGGTGCTCCCTTGACTCTGAGAGTGAAAGCCGCGCCGGCCAGTGATGCCGTTAATCCTCCTATGGCTGTGCTGACTGTCGCTGTCGTCTTCCATTCGCTCTCACCGCGGACGGCGTTTTCAACATGCTTCAGAAGCAGGTTCGCCGGGTAGTCGTCGGAAGTGGGTAGATTGACCCAGACGTAGTTGTTACCGCCGTGAGTCTCACCATGGATGACCAGATCACCCAAATCTGGGAACTCAAGAGCGTCTCTGATGGACATGGGTCGGGACGAGGGGATGAGGAGGTGGAACATTGCGTTGTTGGCGCGCTTTCCGAGGCGCTTTCGGATGAACCTCACGAAGGCAACGAGAGCATCCAGATTATCGGAGAAGCCAAGGAAGTTGCTTGGCAGAGGCTTGTCCTGCAGCAGGTCGTAGAAATCGGCATGCCATTCGGCATCGGGGTGATAGAGGACATAGAGATGTCGATCTGAAGAGGCGGATCGGCACTGACGGCCAAGGAATCTGTAGACGTGGCCTGCGAATTTGGAAGGCTCACTCTGTTCGACCCAAGACTCGGTCTCCTCGGGAGGTTCGATCCCCACATTTTCAAGATCTGAGTCATAAATGACGCTGAGATTGTTTGAACCGAGTTGAAGCCTCGTCAAGAAGCGTTGAAGCGGTTTCGACCATTCCCCGTTTCGGCAAACCTTGTCAACGCCCTTGAGATGAGCGTGAACCGTCGGAACGTACGGACGAGTCCCCTCATACTCAACCTCAACAACATCCTCGCCCTCACCGGTCTCACTGGCCTCGGCATCCAGCGCCTTGGCCTGAGCGGCTTTCGCCTGGAGGAAGGCCTCGGCGTTGAAGGGAATCTCAGCGAGCTGCTGCATCACATCAGGGCCCTTGCCAGCGCCCGTTGGATTGAGGCTGTTCACAATGTCGCCCGCTCTCCTTCTGAGGCTACGGGATGGTTGACCGCTGCGAGAGGAAGAAGCATCAGTGGCGTTCCCAGTCTCACCTGAGGCCGAGCTGCGCTTCTTGGAGCCCATGTTGCGAGGTGGTTTTTGCTTTCTTTGCTGCGCCGAGGTGCGGGGCTGTTGGGGTATGGTCTGAGCGACCGTCGAGGCTCTGAGCGAGCGAGCAGTCAGCGAGGCGAGGCCAGGATGTCCCTAGAAGGGCAGAAAGAAGAGACGTACCTAGTGCAGGTACAGTAGTAGTCGGATCAGTGAGTGAGCTTGCTTGACTGGTTCGTTGCAGATCGCGGGTTTAAAGGTATCTCGGGTAGATTCAAAGCTAAGAATTATCCAAGGACCCGGATCACCATTACCTAAGCGAGAAATATGCCAGGCACATGCCAGGCCCCTTTTTTTGGCCCGAGCGCAGCCAGTCAGAGAGGATCAAGACCCGCTGACCCAGCATGGATTGAGCGGTGAGCAAAATAAACGGGACTATCAGATTTGTGACAATATTAGACCATCACTTCACCCTACAGCTTCAGCGGGCTGCTGACCGCGACAAATATGTCATCTCCAAGTATTCTCTCGACTTCCAGCTGCCAACACATGATGTGGCGAAGGCTTCACCGCCTTTAGGCTTGTTGAGCTTGGGCACTTAACCACTCACTGCCACCTCATCCAAATGCGTGGCATAACCCAATTCTTTGCCGCAGTCATGCCCAAACGCTGCATCAGAGTTGGCATCAACCATGAAACAAGATGAACACGCATGTTCTTGCTACATCATCTTATCTGCGGGGTAAAGTTTGCAGATCAACATCATTGACTGTGTCACAAACACGTGTCACGCGTTCAGTGAAACGATCGGCCTCCTGCATCGTCTGAACGTCTCAATATCAAACACCAAATCAAATCATTCTGAATCCATTTCCATTTATTGAACCCGTCACTTGAGATCCATCATTGAACGCCGTGTAAACCTTGAGCTTGAGCCCTGCCTCCGAATTATTTGTGTAATATTTGCTTTTGACATTCACCACAACGCCACCGTAATTTACTATTTTGATGACGACGACAATTTTTATGTGAGCGGAGAGATTCTGAACGCGACAACAATCGATATCCCCAAACATGGGCAACACTTTGGAGCGTCCCACTGCCCCTGGCGATGAATTTCCGTGGCTCTTCCAACAACTACGCCTACAAAATCACGAGAATCGTAGGCTAGCCAACGCACTTCGAGAAGAAAACCGCCGTCGGAGACGCCCGGAGCATCGCGACAGACAGCCTTGTAGATTCTATGCACAGGGCTTTTGCTTCCACGGTACAGACTGTCGCTACGCCCATGATGGGCCCAGTGACCCAGACCCGACAACCAGACCGTCGTCAAAGAGAACCTTGTCGGTTCTACGCCCAGGGTATCTGCACTCACGGCGAAGCCTGTCGCTTTTCTCACGAAGGACCCCGACCTCTTCAAGAAACATGTCGCTTCTTCGCCAAAGGACTTTGTAAGAGAGGAGTTACCTGCAGATATGCTCACGATCAGCCGAACACCGAGTGGTCGGAAGAGCCCAAGGTAGGCTGTTATATCGCAGTAATGTGAGAAATCCGAAAGCTAATGATGTCTCAAAGCATGACTCCCATACCGAAAAGTGGACTCGTGAGCTTGGAGGTGCCTGGGTCGAATTTGGAGATGGAGCGGCCGTCGTGAAAATCACTCTTCGCTCGGACTTTTCCGCTATTCAAATGCGCCATCTGCCCTCGAGGTCGTCAGCACGATCGGTGCAAGAGCTGCTGGCAGATGTAGGAATCAGCGCATCCATAAGCGACATCAACTTTATTAAGCTCGTGAAGAATCGGAACGGAATGGCAATCGTCAAAGTCAAAGATCCGGAATTTGCAAAATCCGCCTGTTGGAAACTGCGTACCTGTGTTCGAGCGCCCGACTTGGAAGTCACCCAAATCCCCATTCCATTACCAGAAGGATCATCATTTGGCCTCGTCGACAGCAGAAACGTCCGCTGCTCATGGCACAGACCGACAAGAAATCTCACTCTTTGCTTCAGGGATCCAACACAAGCATTTGAGGCGTATTACAAGCTCAAAAACCAGCAACTCAACATCGGTGGCTTGCCAGTCATAGCCCAAATGCCCGCCGCAGCGGATCCCACACAAAATGTTGGGCCATGGCAGATGGAGTTGAAAGGTTTGGTGGCTACTATTCCTCCGGAGGATATCATGGACATCTTTCCCCCGTCTGGAGCACCTTATCAGGTTGAGATGGGTGATCCAAGTTACGATACGGACTCGGATATTGACTCGAATATGATAGAGTCCTTGCTACACGACGTAGGCGCCTTAGAACAATGGGAAGTGTTCGGGAGTCCTACCGCAAGAAGAGTCAAGGCACAGGCCCGGTTCATTGAGGAATCCGAAGCGCTGGATGCCGTCTCGCAATTAAACGAGATGTGGTTGCCGTTCAACCCGTCAGGAAAACTTTACCTTCAGCACGTACATCTGGTTAAGTTTAGAGTTTCGAGTCGCGTCTATTGCGTAGTTGAAGACAGCATCGAGCCGCTACGAAAAGACTGGGGACGGCAATTTGTTTATTTTTCTTCGGTCTCTGAGTGCGGCTACAGAGTTCTCAAGCTTGAGAGCCAAGATCGCGAACCTTTTACACAAGCAAACGAGACCCTCGAACAAATCATCAATGGAACGACAATGACGTTGGATGGGAAGAACCTATGGTCTCCCGATTTCAAAGCAGATAGGGCAGCATACAGGAGGCTGCAAGACATTGAACTAGACCTTGGAGTCGTCATCATCCGCGACATCAAATCCTCAAAGATTCGAGTTTTCGGTCCAGAAGATAAGTTTCTCCCCACCTGCGAAGCACTTGACCAGCTTTTGCAAGAAATCCAGCCTCGATCAACAGGACACAATACTGAGCAATCAAGAACGAAAAGGGCTGCCGAAGGCGACTGTGCAGTCTGCTTCTGTGAAGCTGATCAAGCACTCACGACTTCTTGTGGACATATCTACTGCACGATCTGCTTTGTTAACATGTGTCTTGTAGAAGCATCCATCATCGGTGACTTCTCCATAAAATGTATCGGAGACCAAGGAAACTGTAAGAAGGCCATTCAACTACTGGAGATACAGAATCTGCTTCTTTCAGAGATATTTGAGAGTGTCTTAGAGGCCTCGTTTGCGTCTTTTATGCGCCGACACCAAGACCAGCTCCGCTACTGTCCAACACCCGAATGCAGCCAGGTTTACCGCATCGCCCAACCAGAAACACGCGTCCCGCCCATCTTTACTTGTGCTAAATGCCTGACAGTAACTTGCACGAGCTGCCATGTCTCTCACCCGAGAAAGACATGCGCACAATACAAGGGCGATGCTTCTGGTGGCATGGCAGAGCTCCTCAAAGCAAAGGAAGAGCTGGGTTTCAAGGACTGTCCCAAATGTAACACGCATATACAGAAAGATGAAGGCTGCAATCATATCAACTGCTCGGCCTGGTGGAACCCATATTTGCTGGCTATGCTTGAAAACGTTCAGAGAGGGGGACGACTGTTATCAGCATATGGGTAGGATACATGGGGGAATTGGCGACGAAGGCGAAAACGAAGACGATGACGACGATGACGACATCGAGTTTTAAGAATAAGTTCGCAAAGGATCATGCACATGGTTTGGCGGGATGCTCAAGAATACGTCTTTAGAGACGGACGTCAATGATAATAGCTTGTCACTTCATTCAGGAAGAAACGCTAGGTTGGTATACTGTGATGAGGTCATATACTAAGTTCTGTGTGGTGATGTAAGCTCTCAACCACAGGTCTCAACTGCCAATGACAAATATAGATCACAAAAATTGAAGCGTAAAAAGACACTTCAATCCCAAAACAAAGGGAAAGAACACAAGTTAACACTTGGGGACAATGGGTTGGTTCACGAGAGCCTTTCCCTTATGTCATTCCCGTCAAGTTCAAGATAGAACTTTATACAGTTCAAGTCATTTCATGAAAGACGTTATCGAGTCGGACAATTTCGTGTGATCCCCTCATATCTCAAGGAGCCATGGTTTGAAGGCTCTCCTGCTCCAAAAGCCTGTAGCGACCCTCGTCATTCAACCTCTGGGTAGTAATACGCTGAGGGTAGTTTCTCATAAACATATTAGTGAAGTGCTTGCCATAGTGGATTCCGTCCTTGGGCTCTTGGCCAACATCATAGCCGGGCAGAGGCTTCACAACGGCTTGGAAGCTTGGCTCATGGAAGTAAGCAAAGGCGAACCTCTCTCTGAGATTGAGCCCGACTTTGTGGGGGGTTGAGGGAAGGGCTGAGTTGGTGATGTACTGCATCATGTCACCTAAACCAAAAGAAGGTTAGCAAGGTTCGTTTGTGCTAAGAGAGCAAACTTTCCTGGGAAGACGGTGAAGACATTCTCCGCGGGAGGAACGAAGACCCATCTTTCATCATCCTCTCTGAAGCCAGCGGCACTCGATTCCCAATTAGCGAAGTTTTCATCGCTGTATGGGGGTCGAATCATCAAAGCTTGAAACAACCGGTCAGCCACGGCTTGTCATTGAACTGATCTGAAGTACTTGCCGCCGACATCGTCCGCTGCTGCGATGACTAGAAGTCCGTAGTCAGTGTGAGATCCAATTCCTCTTCCTTCCTTGCCCTTGCCATTAGTCTTGTTAATGGCAGGGAAGCTATATGACTGTAATTAGTGACAGCCAGACCAAGGCATGAATTCTATCAAATACTTACCGAAGAATTCTCAGATGATGCCATCCATCTTGTGTGTAGTTGGTAAGTGACCCTTCAGGAACACCAAGCCCCAGTTCAGTGAGCTGCAAGAGCGTTTCCCCAACGCCCCCCAGACTCTGCATGTAACGCTGCATGGGATTCTGCATCTCATAGTCAGGCCAAGGGCAACGACCATGGCACGGCCATTTTGCAACGACTCTCGGCTCATCAAGTTCAAGGTCTTTAGTAACCGTGAAAATCTCGCTGTAGTCAGCAATACCGTCAGTCAGCTCTTCACCACTGGCAATGTAGCCAGAGTAAGTCTGACTGTCAACGCAAGCTGCCTTTTGAGCATAAGGCTTGCCGAAGAAGCGTCTACTAGCGTAATTGGCACTTTTGTAAAGTGAGTGCTGCTCGGGTGTCATGCTTATCTGCAATATGCCGTCCTTCTGCCAGGCTTCGACAAGGGCTTTGCCAAGCTTACGGTTTGCTTCGGTGTCAGAGACTTTATCAGGCAGGATGAAGGTCTGGAGATTTCCGACTGTGACAGAGTGTCCAGGGGGAGGGCCGGATGCATTGAGGATGGTTGGGATGTGAGGCTGCGGAGCGGGAGCAACAGCAGCAGCAGCCGAGGCCATCTTGCGGACCATCATAGAATGAGTGATGAGAGAAGGCAAGGAAGGTCTTGTGAGCGAAGACTTAGAAAGATGTGCAAGACTCATGATTTATATCTGCAGTCACTGGCTTTGATTGCTTGAAAGCTTTGAAGATGTGGTGTTTACTCGAGATGATGATCCAGACTCAAACTTGGGTTCAGCTTCCCATATTTATGCTCGATCAGCGACTGCTTTCATGAGTGTTCATGAAGTGCCGAAGGCCGACTTGAGAACTGTTGTCTCTTCGGTCTCCTCGTGTCCGGGTGTTGTTTTCCGCCAGACGATACTTCACAATACTGCAGTCTGCTAACATGTTGCATGAAGCTGAAGCACCTAGATCCTTATTCCCTGTGAAGTTAAAGGCTTCGTAGCCCGGACAGCAAGCCGAATCCCCCGCGACTCGCGACTCTGAGGCAGGTACTCTTGAAGCTAGCCCGTGTATCAAATCACTAGTTACGGCCCGACCCATGGGTAGCCTAACGGCATCGTAGCCTCAATCTTGGCAATACCGCACGTGCACTCATTAGTTAACTCTCAGATCATCTAGACCTATACGCCAGAGGAAATTCGGTGATACATCTCCGGCATACTACTGATCCTAAATTCGAATAAAGATTCAGAGACGTTGCATAGCAAGTCTCTCCTTGCAAAATATCGTTCGACTTAGACTTTCTCAAGCCTCAAGGACCAGGGCCTACGACGCCGCCTCACATTCTCGTCGATCAATTATCCCATTGCCATCCCACCTGTCTGCCGAGCCAATTAATCCAACTCAGATGCGCGATGCGCGGCTCTCGCATAGAATCACATCTTATCAAGATACGAGACAGATAATTGAGGTGGCATGTCCACTACCTTGACAATTCCCCAATAAGCTTTTCACCTGCTCATTTGATCAAGCCTCCCGCAAACAAAATAAAAGCAACCAATTGCGCATCGATTAATTGATTGCTCAAATGCCCGAGTCATGTCCCTGGGAGAATGTTACCAGGGTCCGGGTATGCTTCCCGTCGGGGAAGCTTCAAGGTTCTGCCAATGACCGGGGAATGGGACAACATACATATGCAATACCAATGCGGAGCGGGATACACTCGAGTCATTCTCCGCAATCCTTCTAAAATTACCGCAAACATCTCAATGCTTGCAAGAGCCAGTTTCACGTATGGCGAGATGGGCAACGTTTTGGATATCTCGGCAACGGCTCCTACAATTTCTGCTGACAAAGAATTCATATTTCTTGACCGCATCAAGAGATCTCGATTACTGATATGCCGGGCTCGGTAATCATCTGCCCTAGAGTAACATTGAACCCCAAAAATGAAGGTGTGTTGCTTTCTCGTTCATGAGTCAGTAGGAAGTGAGAAGACATAACTCAGTATTGGCGCCACTGGCTGGATAAAGTCGAGTATTTTGTGAACGCATAGATCGAAGCTGTCACGCTCTGGCTCTACCAGATTTATCTTTGACGAGATGCCAGTCCATTTTGTATACTTGCATGGCGGGGCTGAATCTGGACTTGCTTCTGCATGAGAAGTGGTACTACAATCAACGAGACCAGCAGGAGCAACTTCCAAGCGCTTCCAAAAAAAAAAAAAAAACATAATCATTTCATCATTGTAATGAGTCAAGATATATGGTACTGTTTCAGTATCCAATTCCAATAAAAGTGTTCCCCCATGTCTGCATAAAGCTTGCACCTTGCGATACAACCTGGTAGATCTTATCAAGCCATCCCCGGATTTTTGAAACGAACTTTATAGGGATCAAACCTTCTTTCACCAATCTAGCGAAGATAAGGCGGTTTGGGTATAGAAGATTGGTAGGGGTAGGAAGAAAAGACTGCCAACGCGAGTCAGCCGTGGCCTCAGGGAAGACCAGGGTGGCTAGGTTGGAAGCGGTATGATTAAATCGTCTCGCCACAACCCCCATGCCACTTATCCGCACGTGTAAGACTTGCTTGATGATACGATACATGAATTGCCTCTCTTGATCGGGGTGAATTGTACCGAGGATAACCGCGGCAAGCATGATAGAAGAGATTGTTCAAGTGAGGAGTTTGTGAATGCAAGCCTGGGTATAACACGGCAAAGAAATATGAAATCAGGAGTATGCGGCAGAGATCGAGAACCACGGCTGTACAAGCCTCGGCCTTGCGAAGAAGATTGGCCTTTGGCTGAAATACCAGCTCAAGAACCCGTATCGTAACACTCCGATGACATGGAGAGCGCCTGTCAGGTCAGCAACGAGATATCCTCGTACCTTGACAACTTTACACAAGATCTGGCAGCGAGATATAAGATCCAAGACTGGATTTGTAGCCTTGTGGCTTTCTGGAACAAGACAGCCTTCCGTTTCTCATGGGGTTTTCTGTTGTCCAGATGCAATCTCTCTACGAAGACAGCAATGGCGTCAAAATAATAGTGGCTGGTTAATTACATTCATCGATTTGAGCAAGGTTAATGACATAACTCAATAAGCTGCATCCTTTTCATAGAAATGTGTCTTTCGAAGTTAATGATCTATATTTCACCACTAATTATTGGAAACTGCGCCTTGACGTTTTCGCTACCCAAAATATGTCAACGTCTTACATTTAAAGGAGACCTATGCAGACAATGATCTCTGTTCCATTTAAAATGAATTGTCATAAAATGTTTCAGTTATTCCTGTGTAATAATAAAGCACAAGTGGTGCTCCCATAATGATATTCTTCCCCAGATCAAATCGATGTCGACTAACAGTCATCATCCATAAACCATAACACGGTTCCAAGTATCAATCGCCCCATAGCCCAGCTTCAATTATCGGATAAGAGCCAGCTTACCTGATATTGATCCACTTCTCATTCATTAAACAGAGTCACAAAATGGCGGCCGGAAGCGTCCATATACCGACACACTTGTGTCCAACCAAGCTGTTCATAAGGCTTATCACAGGAGTTTGTATTAGACTCTTCGTCCAACCCATCAACGGGCTCATTATCCTCCCCATCATCAGGTTGTATCATTCGGAATGTAACCAGATCAAGATTAGTTGCATCCAGACTACTGAAGTCAGGCTTCAAAGCATTGTACAGGAAGCATGGCTCGCATTTGATGGGTCTAGGATGGTCCTTGTCAAACAGATAAAACTTTTGTTCAGGTGGATCAACAAAATTCTCATGGTTCTTCCGATCAAGGCAAATCAGCTCCAGCTCAATGGTTCCGGGCTCTCGGCGGGGTCTGTCGTCCCATCGCAACTCCCAGTGGCCGCAGGGCTCATTGGCAGGACATTCCGCAGCGTTGGGGTGGGCGAGAAAAATGACAGGCATCTCATGGGGCAGCTTATTATACAGCCGCGCCCCGCAAACCCACTTGAGGAGATCTCTGGAGAAGCACCCATGGGGCTTTTCAGAGAGCCACTTATCCTGTTTGAACCTTGAGTCCTGGAGAGGATCATGGTGTAGTGCAACTTCTGGAGTAACCAAAACTGACAGCTTGGAAAGTGCTGGCTGGGGAGAATACTCATTCATCTCCATATCCTCGTCCTGAGAGGTAGTATCCGGAGAGTCTGGAAAGTCGGAAAAGGTCTCATCAGAGACGTCGATAGCCACTTGATTCTCAACCCCGATCTCGTTGTTGTCGTTGTCATTACCTCTATAAGAAAGAAACGGAATGACGATGTCAGCATCCACGAAGTCCTCATTCTCTCCAGCTGCCTCACGGAAAACCGAGATAGTGTCTTCGAGTTCCGCCAGTTCGCTCAACAAGAGAGCCCTTCGAGTTAGTAAGTCATCCATGGCGAATCAGTTGTCCGATGAATCTGAATGAAAGTTTGCGCAAGTTGTTTCTTTCTGACGAGATGTTTCTTGTCTAGTGTGTTGACAGAAATCTTTGGTTGAGAGCTTGACAAGAAGCATAGGGGCGATTGCGTGGATTAAATACGAATATGAGCAGGTGCCAATGTCACTCAGGGAGTGGCATGACTCTTGTCTGTGCAGCTGAACCTGGTACCTTGAGTTTGTCTGAAAACCTGGTAAGCTATGGCTACGTGATGACAAAGAATACCGAGTCGAACAGTTCATACCGTAGGTTGTTGCCTGAACAGCTCCTAAGCCGCTAAAAGAATGCTGACATCATGTTCCCATGCCTAAGTCGCGAACAACATGAACAATCGAAAGGGTGTTCCAAGTTATGATACAACAAAAAAAGATGTAAATATGATACACTAGTCTAAATCAGACCTGCAAGAATCTTATGACTAAAAGGTTTGTCCAGTAACCAGGGTCTCATATACTAGACCTTCAAAAACAGATCGCTTTATCGCAGCACCGAAACTATTCTTTGTTAGCAGCCTCAGAACACTGTATCTGAATGAACTTACCCGTGACATTTCGCAGCCTTCATTAATTTCGCCGCAAGGCTACCCAAGCTACTTGTACTGAACCCACCAAAGTTTGGCCGACACCGGATGTTATTCCAGGCCTGGATTGGCGTCATCTCATCTTCATTCGACAGGTCAGGCGCCAGTGTCAACAATCGCTCTAGCATGGTCGATGGAGTATTTCCAAAGGCGGGGGATGAAGGGAGACGGGGGTTGTTTGTATGTGATGTGTCGCCACAGGCTGCCATGAGCTGAGCCGTCGCAGTGAGAGCATGATTGCCAGGCTCGTCAGGTTTCTTGGAGTCTCCGTGCAGATGACCCAAGCAAGGTTCTTCAATTCTGATGTGTGTTAGCAGACACTTGATGATGATGTGTTAAAGGGACATACTTCAAGACAAACTCCATGCCTGCAACGATCTGATCCACTTCACCCACGCGCGAATGGCTTGAGTACCTTTGATTGAACAAGACGGGAGCCCCATGGCCCTCGGATGGGTCAGAGAAGTCACCAAACGAGGACGGTGATATCAGTTGTGGAGAAGGTATTATGTCCACTGATTGGTAGCCCGGATCACCCAGGTACATCGGCGAAGCGCCGCTCGACGACCCTGTAGTTCTGGATGGAGTAGCATAGTCATTGATCGGGTAGTTGATCTCTCTGAATCCAGTATCGGTAGAATTGGGACCTTGAGATAGTTGCTGAAGGGCATTTTGAAGACCTGCACGGAGTTGCTCGCACTCACGTGCTAGTTCCGCTTCCCTCGCTCGAGACTTGGCTAATTCTTCTTCCAACGTCCTTGCGTACTTATCCTTTCGACCACGGTAGGATCTAAAAGAGTGGGGTGTTAATAATAGTTGTATAAGACAGTGTCCCAAGAGTTTCTTACTGTTGAGCACGCCGTAGCTGCGCTCGACGTCTCTCTACTGGATTTTCCTTGGGCTCTGATCATCGTCAGCAGCTTGCACGAACAAGGATTAGCAAAAACTCAAACTAACCCCCAGGATTAAAAATCCGAAAGATTCTGTCAGTCATTGTGAGATTGGCGCAAGCGAGGAGGAACGCGAAAAAGGTAAAAATGATGAAAGATCAATAAAGATGAAGAGAACAACGACTCCAGTTCAGCTGCTTCATTCTTGTTTCTTATCCAAGATTAGTCAACAGGTGAGCATTGTTCCCATTGGTTCTGGTGAGCGCTAGCTGAGTGAGACCCTTGTATCAGGGGCGTTTCGGCGTCGTCCCCTCATTTTGGGGCACCGAAGATGAGAATATCAAAATTTCCTAATTGGGAAAGGTTCGTCCTACTCCTGTCAGCCCTGACACGGAGAAGGGTTAGCGAAAGGGTTGTGATATCATGCCTCAAGGAGCATGCCGAATGGTCAAGAAATATTCTTTCTACTTGCAAGGATAAGTGATAATGTCACTACCGAGTGTTTTTTTAATTTGTTTAATTTGTTTCAAGGTTAGAGAAGTTGATAATATTCTGATGTTAACCTTATATGACATGTTAGTGGTCTCGATTTTTCCCTTATTACTGAGTTCCTTACATTCTGATAACTAAGTCTCGTGTCAGATCATTGAATTTGTGCTATCTATACACTAAGTATTTAAACACTGACAATAAGGTCAATTGCTTCTTCTATTGCCTATGAAACGATCTCCAAATGAAGGTATGGCGCTTCCAAAACGGAAATCGTGATTACAGAGTCTAAAGCACAGATCTGACTTCCAAACAGGGGACATCACACCCCGGTTTCATTTTAGCCGGCAGCACGGCAACCAAGTCGCATTATGTTGTTTCCGAACTGTGGATGGTTCTTCAGCCTGGTTTCACATTTTAAGGAAGTGGGACTTTCGATTTGGCCGTTTATGTTGCAATGAAAATCTTGCTTTTCCTAAAGAGGAAATTCAGATTACTTCGATGTCGGGATTTTATCCCTGCAAATAGAGTATAT